TTCGGGGGGGGGGGTAGGTTCATAATCAGGCCTGACACTATATGTGCGTGATCGTTTCGATTAAAAGTGTATACAACTTAGCAAGCATAATTTACGAAAGCCAAAAAGAAAAAAAAATCGAAAGGGGGTATACCGACGCGCGCAAGTGAGTGCTGGATCTGCCTTTGGTTCCTCTACGTTTTGTTTCAAAAATGAAGGTAATATGCCCCCTTTCTTACATCTGTTTATTTCAATTTGGAGCCAAGAATTTTGTATACACATGTATGACGACCGGTCGATGACATTGTCGGACATTTCTCTCAGAATACAACCTCCCCTAAACATTTTTGCTTCAAATACATTCCCATATATGATTCTTATGTGTCTAAATGTTTTGCACTAAATTCGTAGCTTAGATTTTTAAAAAAGTCAGCGAGAGCTAAATAGAAAGGAAAAATCTACGCAATCAAACATAAATTAAATTTTGGGAAAACACATTATATAATGCATCTCATAATTATAATTATTTATAAATTGATAGATACCTGCACGTCCACCTCACTAGGCATTTCAGTTGCGATTGCTAAAAATGGGGTACTAAATCAACTTTCTGCAAAATCATCTGATTGGTTGAGAGATATATACCCAAATACGCATGTAAATTAGCGAGGTCAAAAGAAAGGTCATGTCACAAGTCATTTAGAATACTCGTTTCCTTCTGTATCGGAGATATAGGGCGGGGCCCGGCTCGAGCTATCGCTCTCGCCTTAAGCCCCGCCCTGTATCTCCGATACAGTGGGAAACTCGTACTCTAAATATAACGTAACAGATATCCCAGCAGAGTGCTTATTTCGTACATGTACGACCATTATAGAAATGTCCCTTTCTTTTAACATTACTTGAATTCATATACTTAAAAGATGATGTCTTTTTATCCTTCGTTGAAAGCCAGATTTTTGTAAGTAATCAGTGTCAAGTCTATCAAAAGAAATTGCCGACTTACCTGTAGTAATTTTTGTAACAAGCTTCCTGACTGGTCAAGGGTTCAATTCCGATGTAGAGTCCGGAGAGATTGTGAATTTAGCAAATTCACTTTCTATCTGCTGACTTTACAATAAATAAAACATCGTTCAACTTTAATCGGAATTGTTTCTCTTTGCCAATTTAGGTAAGCTTGTGGTTTTTTTATTTGAAAGTTAAAGATTAGATTTAATTTCATTTTCATTATAGTTATTTTTAATTGATATTTTAATGATTTCCTATAAATTATTTTTGATACGAAATTAGGATAAATTACTTTGTTCATTTGACTTACACTTCATTTTTTTAAATATCTGAAATGTTTTATTAATTTCAAATTGCTTGTTTCATCTAATGTTCAAGTAATGTTTAAAATTATATAATTACATTATTAGCAATCATTTCTTTGTTGAATTATTCACGAAATAGCGTTTTTGGAATCTTTCTATTTTTATACATTTTTGGCAATTTATCCCTGTTCGGAACTCTCTAGTCAGAGAAGGTAACTAAATTTTCCCGAAGTTTTGTAAACATTGTCTTTGGAGTTGAATGTTTGTAAGTTTTCTGATTTTATTGTCTACTTTTGATTTTTAACTTTTGTAACTGTAAAAACTTTTGTAAGCGCTATGCATGACTGATTTCACGTAACCGATCGATCTTTATTTGTTGTTTAATAATCATACCTTCTCTTAGCGGGTTTCGCTACAGGTTGTTTCAAAAGTTATTTACTTATCTGACATTGTTTATTCGATAATTACTTGTACCTGTTTATTATAATTTTTTTTGTGTAACAACTTTTATAAAATTCACTTTCTATCTGCTGACTTTACAATAAACATCGTTCAACTTTAATAGGAATTGTTTCTCTTTGCCAATTTAGCATAACAGTAGAAAAAGCGAGTAGCTATCCTACCAGGCTAATTTCCCCAAAGTTCACAGACGAAAAAGTCAGTGTGAAATATCTATCACGATGTAATTTTTGATAAAAAAAAAAATTTTAGTGACATGTTTTAGCTGACTTTGAGATATTCTTTTAAACAACTGTAATTACTTCAAAAAACATGAAAGACTTTAATTATGCGAATTACCATGTAACTCAAAATGTGTCAATTTTAATCAATTTACTTAACATGTCATGAGTTACTAGTATTCTATCTAAGCCATGTGTCACTCTTGCTCAGAATTGTGCTAATTGCCATTGTTATACATTATTATTTATATGATACGTGCAACATTGTTAAGCAGTCAAGTCCTCGGCTTCGGATTGTACGAGTGTATTTTTTGGATTTCCAGAATTCGCCCTAGCGACCTAAGTTTATAATAAAGTGCTATTCCATCGTTAGCATTTTTATGTTTCATTGTTGCCGGAAAGTTTTACACGTATTTTTCCTGGTGATAATTTGGTGGAGAATCCGGGTATAAAACCCGGGACTGCTGCATATATTTTGTAGCAGTTATATATCCCGAGTACCAGCAACTAAGCGAGTTTCCCCAAGACGGTCAACAACTTCAACCTAAACAACACCTCGCAAACCCGGAGAAAAGGATTTTACCGCTCCTCCCCAACATCTTTCCAGAGTCATTGTCTTTCGCGTCCTTGGATCACACCAGAACCAGTATGAATATTCTCTACATAACGATCCAGTCCACGGTGCTTTAGGTGCGGGAAAAACCTTCTTCCACGGCCACCTTTTCACTAGCTACAATAATGTAGCCCTCTCCGATTTTTTTTTTTTTGGGGGGGGGGGGGGGGAGAGGCTCTCCAGAAAACATCAGATAAAAAAAAAATCGGAGAGGGCTACATTATTGCAGCCACCTTTTCACGTGTCCAGCTACACGTTCGGAGTGTTTCGAGTGCTAAAGTCCATTTCTCTTCCGCGACCATACCTTACCGTTCCTCCAAAAGGATTACATATCCAGTGGCGTCCATCTATAATTCGTTGATCAAAAAGGATCCAAGCCCAGGGGTTAGGACGGGCCTGCTTGAAGACAAACCCGGGAAACCCGTCTGTAGGATCGTCTGACAACAAGTCAGTAAAATACGATTCTACTGCAGGGGTGTGTATTTCTCGGACTGCTGCTGAATGTAGTCCGAAGAGTGTTGCTATTGCGGAGACGCAAAGGAAGAGTATACTTTATCTGCAGACTAAGTCCGTAATTTAAATCAACAGGCCATACCATCCAACTAACTGCATTACAAAATAAAAATAAGACCTTAAAGACAAAGATTAGTGAACTAATGAGGAAATGTGAAAATCTTCAAACTGTGACATCCGCCTTCATTATCGCATTTCAGAACTGAAATGCAGCCAAAACCAAAGGAACAACGGAGAAGGGCAATTCAACTCAGCTAAACGTGTTACCAAACAACATCCTTTTCTTCCGCTACCAACATCAACCAAGCGATACTGGTACCAACAAGCCTGAGACGAGGACGTCTCATTTTTCGAAGCGAGAGGGAATTATCACGGTGTAATTTTTGGATTTACACGTATTTTCCCCGGTGATTGACTTTAATTTATTTACCAGCCCGACGGTTACGTATTCCATTTTGTTCGATTGCTGAACAGGCTGATATTAGAATTTAGTTCTTAATCACCCTTGAAATTTAGTAAGACCATTATTTAAGTTTTAATCGGTGGAACCGTTTACTATAATGGTGGTGAAAATTCTTGAAATCATGACAATAAATGGAGACCTTTTAGATATACAGGATAACTGATTTAAAATTGTAGCCTTTAATGTATCATTCATTTAAAGCCATTTCAATCACATGTGTTTTATATACAGTATAATGTGATATCATACGAACTTATTTGCTTCTTTGCTGTGCGTTTACCTTTTTTTTGGAATCCGCAAACTTTAGGCAGTCATTGAATAACATTCTGTGTCACACCGAACCTCAATGTACCCTTTCTGAAACTAAATGTGAAAAGTAATATGTCCATTTGAATCGGATTTTATTTGTTCAATTAAAGACTTTTTTTACCATCACGTAAAATAGTCCTGCTGCAAGGCTTTAAAAGAACTTGAACTGTTTTCGTAACAAATTTAATATCTTCCGTCAAGGAATAGTTTAGTATTTTTTATATCTAGGTATTGTTTGCTATTGAAAATAATACAAAACCAGAATGTCTTCCCTGAAATTGTAATATGATTGACAAAAGTATAATTGTTCAATTTTCGTTTTTTTTAAACTATTCGTTTGTGTAAATATGAGTACATGTATATATTAAGTGGTTTACGTTAAATCCAATATTATATTTTTATGCATCCATTAATGACTTTTCTATCTGTTTTTTGTTTATTTATTCCTTAAGCCATATGGCTTATCAGATTACATAATCATTAGGCAATTAAAAAATAAAGGCTATATACCACACAAGAAATGTACATGCATAAAATATTTTACATTATAGAAAATTGTAAACCTTGTTAAGAACTGAAATTATAAATTTATCACAAATAAAACATTTTACTTAAAAAATAAAATTCTTTTATACATTTCTTTTAAATCAGTATTCACATCCATGCATTCACAAGTAAAAAATAAATTATCAGGAAATTAAAGTCGTTCAGTTAACAAGGTAGATTTTAAAATCCCCCGTTTTAACTGCACTTCTTCTTCTTCTTTTTTTTTTTTTTTTTGCATGTTTAATTTCTATATTGGTAAAAAACATAGAGTGTCAAGTAATCTATTCTCCCCTTTGGGTAACCGAGCATGCATTCCATTCAATTTAAAATACGTCTGCATTTTGAAGTGCAATTTTTGGGACTTAAAGTCAAGTGTTAAACCGAACAACATGGCTTAAGAAGTTTGAGCAATAGATATGGAATTAATTAAATTATCAGTGCTCCCCGTTTTATGTGCACTTGGTTTTACTTGTGCTGTGTTTCAGATCTGTTGTGCCTGCACCGTAAATTATGATACCGATGCGTGCCATTTGCTTTTTTCTCTAAATGGAACGATATTAGGAGATCAATGTTCAAATGCAGAGAGCATGAATTTGGATTACACCTTCAGAAACCTGCAGACTTTTCCTGAAAATTTATGTGCTTTTCCTTTGATAAAGATAATTCGACTTTCAGGCAACCTGCTCACAGATATACCAGCTTTGTCTTGTCTCCCAAGCTTGGAGATTCTATTACTTGCCAGAAACAAGATCAGTGCTCTAAAGAAAGTTTCGTTAATCCACAATAAAAATCTTAAATATGTTGACTTATCCTATAACTTGATCGCGTACATAGAAACAGGGGTTTTGGAGCTCTCATCCTTCCACACTATTATTCTGAAAGGTAACTTTTTAATGTCACTGGATGTAAGAGATTTCGCCATTGTAAGACCATTCTGTCTGGTGGATCTTTCCTATAACAAACTAGAAGTTCTAGTAAACAACTACAATTGGACTGTTAATAAGAGTGTCAGCTATTCTGGAGGCTTTATTAACGCAACACACAATAACATCCGAGAACTTCCACACTGGAGAAAAGTAGGATTTCCAGATCTTACCGATATCGGGAAAATTATTTATTTTGGAATTGATATTCGGTACAATCCAATTACTTGTGATTGTAAATTGGCAGAACCTATGGCTTATTTTAAACCATTGACAGAGCACATAGATCGAAATTATTTTTATATGTTTTGTCAGAGTCCGCCAGCTTTAAATGGAAGTTTACTTATAAATTTTCTTGAGGGAGATCGGATTTCAGAGCTTATTTGTGATTATACAGGTCAGCCATTGTGTCCTCAAGGATGTTCCTGTCTAAAATCACCAAGATATTTAAGCGCTGGAGAGACCCGGCTGGTCTTTACGCTGCGCATAAATTGTTCACAGTCGAATATTCAACGATTACCTCACATTCTTCCAGAAACTGATGAAATAGAATTTTATCTTCGTGGAAGCGCTATCAGTCACATTAAAAAGGAGCATTATTTGTCGCGCGTCTCTGTTGTAGAATTGCCAATAGTGCCATCCTTTGAGCACGGGGCCTTAGGAAAAATGAACAGACTAAAAGAATTTTCTGTTCCAAAAAAGTCACAATTAGATGGTATACCGCGTGAGTTTTCTTGTTTTGATCCCTGTATTTTTCTGCAGAAGCAGGATTTTACTGTTAATTGTACCTGCTCACATGTTTGGATGCATGACTGGCTGATAACTAGAAATCACGGAAACTGTAGTACTGGCTTTGCTTTTAAGTGTGCGCGTGGAATCAGTGCTGAGGAAATGATAAGATACATTCCACAAATGGATTGCCAACAAGAATCCGATTATTCAATTTATATCTTATTATTATATTGTTCTTTTCTCATCATATGTATAGCTTTATTTGCCGCCGTTGTTTATAGATATAAGTATGAAATAAGGCTTTTCTATAGAACCTCAAGAGCGTGTGAACGATCACCATCTCAAGGCGTGCTGGACCAGGACTCTGTCGTGTTTGTTTCCTACGATGAGGAAAATCAAGACTTGCATTCATGGATTCTTAAAACACTAGAACCTTTTTTACTTCTGAAAGGTTTCCATGTTTTCTTACCGACACGTGACCTGCCTCTTGGTAGTGTTCGTTCTGATGAAATAGCATGGCAAATCTCAGTGTCGAGATTTTATATCGTTCACCTCTCTGTCAATTACTTAAACGAAGACTCTCTTCATACTTATAAGGAGTGGAATTGTATTTGGGAAAGTTATTTGGCCGACAGCAGAAAGAGGCTGCTTGTTATTAATTACGATCTTATCGATGCTGCTGATATATCCTGCAATAAAATGAGGTCCATTTTGCATGCTGGAGATGTCGTTAATTTCTCAAGAGGAGAGAATTCGATGTTTTCAAAAATATCAAAGACTCTTCGCTAGATTGAGAGTTTTATCAGAGAAATCTGGATAAGATGATTATCAGATATCTAAAGGATTACTCAAATTCTAAGACCGAGAAAAATACTCACGAAAATATTTACAGCAGTAAGGAACTTTAGCAGTATGGTGCAACACCATTTTTGAGAAGTGGTGTTAACCAAATATGGACGCTCAACAAACTCCTAAGAAATTTTGAAATCACAAATTTTTGCCAAAATCAATAGCACCAAAATAAGTTTTCAACATTTTATACAACAATCTGCAAGAATTAAAGACCAGCCTTTGCACATCATAGACAACTGCTTCTTCATTAAAAATAGAACTCGGAAATTTTCAATTCTTGTGATTGGTTACAAACACTATGTAAAAATCGTTCCGATTCTACAATTTGCTGCAATTACCTTGGGCTAATTATGTCCCTTTATTATTATTATTACCAGTTTAGCATTCTTATGAAGCAGAATTTTTTTTTTCAAAAACTTCTACATAAGAAGAAGTCTCTTCCTGTGGCTTTCATGTCGATATTAAGATACATGTACATGTCAATTAACAATACTCATTTTCATTCATATGCTGATCTGATATATCATCCTGAACTGAAAAAAAAGACAACAGATAACCTGAATTGTCTGCGGATTTTTCCGTTTCCCCGATCATGACAAGGAGCACACGGCGGGAGTGACTGGTCGACAGGGGATGCTTATTCCTCCAATCACTTGATCCCTACTCTGATGTTTTTAGAGGTCCGTGTTTGTTCTGCTCCAAATTTATATTGTTTCAATGGACTTTTGAGCTTGATTACCATTCATAATCTTCATTTTTCACAACAGAATGCTTTACTAGAAAAAAATATTGATTGAAAACTAATACTAAACTTTATGTTAAAAGGGATGATTTCAACTTTTCTACTGTGAACTTCCCTTATTTATGTAGCAATATACCATTTAAATATCACCATTATTACCATTTCCCAGTGGATTTGATACATAGGAGCATATTCTACTTACGAACAACTTCTAAAATTTCTACTGATAAATAAGTTGATGATACAAAAAAGCCTTCAAGGGTATAACTATCTCCTTTAAAGCCAACATTTGGCAAATTCTATGGGTGATACAACCTGTCATTAGGTCAAGGTTTAGTGCCTTTTTTGTATAATATTGTTGGCCTTTTTATACTGAATTGTTTATGGATTACTTCCGTTACTTGATCAAGATAAAGAACTGCAGATGTAACCAGCCTTCAGGCGATGCTTACTCCTCCATGGCACCTGATCCCACTTCTGATATTTTCAGAGATCAGTATCATGTTGTAAATTTTGAATTTACTAGGGGGGGGGGGGGGTAAATGCAAAATTTACAGTTGTAAATTTTGCATTTACCTCCCCCTAGTAAATTCAAAATTTACAACATGATATCAGTGTACAGTGGCTGCAACGTTATTGTTGACAAACCAGTCGTGTAGAATCGTTCGTGTAACGTGCGTGATCGTTCGTGTAACGTGCGAGATCGTGCGTGTGTCAGACTCAACCGTTTGCGGTTTTAATCGTGCGTGATCGTGCGTTAAGAAACGTGTAAATTTCGTTTTGTAAGTTCTTATCGGAATGTTATTTGTTATACAAGCATTTCGCTCTCTATTTTTTTTTCAATCCAAATAAAATAAATGAAGCGCGATTTATATAATTGAAAGCAGAACGAACTAATTAACGCTTGGAAATAAGCAATAAAGTAGGTCGTACAAAATTGTGTCCTCGTCAAATAGCGTGATTTTTTGTGATAAACCGTACTTAGATGTTTGAGGATTTTTTCTCTGATGTTAATTATGTTTACTGCTAATTATGATCAAGATATTTTTAAAATCAATAGATCAAAAATAGATATTTTTAAAAATAAATAAATAAACAATTCTCAATGCTTACATAAATATTGAGTCGGCGAATGTATATGTACACGACATGATTATCGGGGTTTCGTTTATCAGTGTTTATCTCTGCAGCTTACTTTTATTTATTTATTTTTTAATAATTTCTTCAAATAAATGATTTGTAAAATAACTGTTGATTTTAGAGATTCACAAATGGAAACATGGACATAACTAATAATTTAATTCATTTTCATGCCATTTTTTCAAACTTTCCTTTTATTTCTGCATATTATGAAATCCAATTCAATCAAAACTCACGGTCCACCTACATGTACATCTTCTGATAGAATGAAAAAAAATCAGTTTTCTTAGGTCGGAGAATTACGTAAATAATTATTTGTAATCTAAAAAAAATTAATCAGTCTTACATGTAATTAGTTCCAGAAATATCCATTTCTCTTCTTTTTCTTCATTTTTCAAAGTCGATGAAATAATATCAATAATTATTTGAAATCTAAAATGAGTATTAAGCTTTATTTCGTTTTGAAAATATCCATTCCTAAAGAATTTGAACTATTTTGCGTGAAGAATCGTGCGTTTGCGTTAGCAATCGTGTAAGATCGTGTAACGTGTAGAATCGTGTGCGTGAAGGATCGTTCGTGTAACAGATTTTATCGTGCGGAATCGTTCGTGTAACGTGATCGTTCGTGTAAGTTGTCAACAATAACGTTGCAGCTTCTGTATGCTCTGCTCTCCATTCGAATTGTTTTATTGGACTTTTCAGCATAACTGTTCCTTATCTCATGTAATATTTATACTTAGTGAATTTAGATTCATGTTTTAAAAAGCTGAACACTTTTTAATCATATTCTTAAATTGACTGAGACGTAAGTTTTGATGTTATTTAAGGATTAAGCAAAATATAAAATGTAAATACTTTGATTTTCTGTGGTGAAGACATTGATTAAAACCTTTAAAGAAGAACTGGAAGATATAATCTCTATGACATCACATGAGAATTGAGTTAGCTATTAGTGAAGTCAATGTTACCATGAGAAATAAATTTAATATTTTTTAACGTAACTATGAAAAAAATCAGTACATCCTTTGGGGGTCTATGGTCTTTTAAATACATTTCAGCACATAATAAATCATGCCTTAACGGCTTTAATGAAAATATGTATATATACCATATTGAACCATTAGAAGATGTTTAATTTCTTTTACGATGTATAAATACATACAAGGGAAGATCAAAAAGAATGTAGCCTTGTACATTTCTCATTATTTCAGTTTCGTATCATTGAAAGACCTTAAATCTACTATCAATCCTAAAAATATTATACAGTCATCATTTTGTGTGTTTAGTTTAGGAGGTATTTGTTGAAGTTACTAACTAGTACTTAATATTTTTTTTCATTAAAGGATAAATAATACAATTTTTTTCAGAAATCAATACATTGTATGTTCATATACATGTAGATAGCTTGAATATCATATATATGTAGTTAGCTTGAATAATGTTTGCAAAAGTATAAGTGTGGAATTTTTAAAAGATTTTGCAATAACACTATCAATGTGTGCAAAAATTTGTATCAATTTATATAGACAATGGCACAAATCACATATTTGAACATCAAGGAAATTCTATGATTTCTTTAAACTATATTTTAGGAATCTATTGTTTATGTCATTTCTATTCAAATCAGTCCAAAATATATCATTATCAATTCATGCATCATATTTTTGTTTGTATTATGTATCCTTAAGACATCACTGTGGTATTTTTTGAATAGACAATTCTAAAGATATCAAATGTTGCATATCATTATTTAATATTGAAATTTTAATATGACTATGAAAATGCCAATAAAATTGTGATATTGTTTTTTTCAGTTAATTGTAGTCACTAAAGAAATATACAAAATCACCCTTCTTTTCATTTCTGTTTTGGCCAGTTGTGGCTCCTGTCCCTTCACTTCTGTTTTGGCCAGTTGTGGCTCCTGCCCCCTCCTTTTCCATCCTGTTTGTAGCTGTGACTTTTCTGTGATCTGGAAAATGACTGACTTGATCTTCCAACCTATCAAAAGATGAAAACAAGCTATGCGAACATCACCATTTTCAAACTAGCAGAGGCAATATCTGATATTGATGAAATTATATGTCACATTTAAATCCTGTACATGTACTTTTTACCAGTGGGTCATAATTCCACAGAATCATAATTTCTATTTATCGCATGTTTACTCTATACAGTGGATATAACTCACGATATCATTTTCATGTACACATTTGTGACATTACAATGGCTTCTGCATGAATATGATCAAGTCTAATATTATGATTTACATATATAACACAGTGTAAAACATGAAATACATGTAGCTACTGTAAAACATGAGATAAAAATAATCTCCTACTGTTTGTGATAAGATATGATTTTTTATCGAACTCTTTATATATTTTAATCTCCTTGCCAAGGCTTGGGAATAGAAACACACAATTTGTTGGATAAAAAACAAGATGTGTTTGTGAAACACTGATGCCCCCGTATGGCAACTTATAACAAAGGTTAAACTTTCTCAAACTAAAATCAAATATGTTGGTACCCAAAGTAAGGTCTTGTCTCGAGGAATATACCTGTGAAATATGAAAGCCCTAGCAGCTACCATTGAAAAGATATGGAAAAGGTTAACATTTTTTTTCAAAAAAATGTCAAACATCAAGGTCAAGGTCAAATGGTCAAAATTAATGGTGCCCACCAAGGAAAGGCCTTCTCCCAAGAAATACACGTGAAGTATGAAAGCCCTAGCACCAATTGTTCAAAAGTTATGACCAAGGTTAAAGTTTTCCAAAATTAGGTCAGACTCCAAGGTCAAGGTCAAAGGGTCAAAGTTGCTGGTATCCAAATGAAGGTCTTGTCACAAGGATTACACATATGAAGTATGAAAGCCCTGGCACTAATCATTCAAAAGTTATGGCCAAGGTTAAAGTTTGGTAAAATTTTGCAAAACTGGGTAAAACTCCAAGGTCAAAGGTCAAATATGGTGGTACCCAAAGAAAGGTCTTGTGACCCCATACTAAGTGTAAATTAAACCTATGCAGAAAAGAGTATGTTTACAATACATCTTCCCCAGTGCAAAAACAGAGCACAGAATCACATTTCAAGTTAAAACATTCCTTGGTTTTCATTTCTAGTTCACATGAAGACATATTAAGTCTTTTACACTACATATTGTATTTACATCAGTAATACAGAGAGAACACAGCCGAGTACTGACCTTCTGGGTTCCTTTGCTTTGTAATGAAGCATAAGGGTTAAACACATCAGGTTTTTTCTTCTTACTGTCCCCACCTGAAAAGAAAGGTTAGTAAACAGATCTACATGTATTTGGGTCAATCTTCCATTGAAAAAAGTTCAAAGCTTTTGATTTGCCAACTTGAAAAGTTTGAAATGCAAACTTTTAAGAGAAAATGTTACAGATGTTTTTTCATGTACAATATATCATAACACATAATGATCAGATGCAAGCCATTCTACAATTCCCTTTCTCTAAAATCTGACTGAATTCAAGTATAATGTACATAAATTACGTAAACTGGTCAGCCCTTACCTCAGAGAAAATTTTGCCTTTTCCTTACTTAAAAACATATTTCAGTCTGAACATATTTTGGTCTTCTCTATAAGAAACCAATTTTAATCTGCCCTTCATAGGAACAAATTTAATCTACTCTTATGCAAGAGCCTATTTTGGTCTGAGCTTATACTGGAACCAATTTTGGTCTGAGCTTAGCTTGGAACCTACACATTTTAGCCTGAGCTTAGCTTGGAATCCACACATTTTAGTACAGTACAATTCGTTTTTTATCATACCGGTTTTATATCATACTTCTTTTTTTATCATAGATATCTGAAACACAAAACCATTTCTTAATAATTCATTATAAATTTCGTCTGTTATTATCATAGGTAAAAGTATACACTTCGCTTACTATAATAGAAAATTTCCGTCCGTAATATTTTTTTCACACCTTTTCACTCTTGGGACAATCAACAAAACAAAAGATAACACCTATCTACACCTGTGGTTCATGCACTGTCGCTTGTCTATACACAGTGGCTTGATTTTCACTTTGAAATTTGCCAATAGTGAAAGACTGGGGAGATTAGTCACACTTCAGTGCACTTACCTGAGTGATTGACAGGGAGTCTGTTTATTTCATGAAGTACATGACAGGATAACATGAACTCTTTTTTTTCATAACTTATTTTCTTCTTATGTTAATCCTGAATTATACGTTCGTAATAAATACGTTTTACCAAATGTGTTGAAACTAAATTTAGTGTCAATATTAACCCAAGCTTTCTTACGCTTGGTGTCTGGATCAATGTTCATAGTTAATTACATTTACAAAACTACCCGATTAATTAAGAAATAATTAAGTGAAATTAACTCTTTCACCAGTCTGTCCAAGCGACTTTAATGCATATGCTCATCAGTGTATCAATTAATTTTAATTATACGGCGACATTAAGTGTAAATAGGTAATTTTTTAATGTCTACTTTGGATGATTAAAAGAAACAATTTGAATGCATGCTTTGTTGCTGTGTTAATTTATTTAATATATGACAAAAAAAACAAAACGAAACGAAACATTGGTAATTTGAATTGACCATAAATTGAAAATGAAAGTAGATCAAAATAAACAAGATGGATGCCAAGGGATCTAGAAGATTGAGTTTGAAGAGTATTAAGCTTTATTTAAGTGAATTTATTTATAATAAAAAGTTGAAACAGTAAGTAAATATTGTGAAATGATATGTCAGTTAACTTTTATTTCAAATAAACCTAAAAATTCGAAATTATAAGTAACGTAAGATGTATAATACATCCAATAATTTACACAAACGTTGTATCTTCAGCCGTCCGACATGAATTTCAGCTGACTATGGTTATTATAAAAGTCGCTTATTATAAAGTTTTGGCCTGACAAATAAACTATGATAATAAACGAATTGTACTGTATGAGCTTAGCTTGGAACCTACATATTTTGATCTGAGCTTGGCTTGGAACCTACATATTTAGGTCTGAACTTACTTTGGAACCTACATACATGTATTTTGGTCTGAGCTCACCTTGGAACTTCTAAGTATTTTTTAGAAACATACAGGTGATTATATATTTTGGTCTTCTCTTTATATCTAGAAATCTATTTTTGTCAATCATTACTTAAGATGTATTTTGGTCTGCCCTTCCCTTACTAAGAAACATATTTAAGTCTACCCTTAACTAAGAACATATTTTGGCTTGACTTTACTAAGTTACATCTTTGGGTATATCCTACCTAAAAATATATTTTGGCCTGTTCTTACCACAATTTTGTTAATTTTTCCCTATTGAAAAACCAAAGACATCTTTTTAAAAATGTTGAAAAATCACTGAGTGACACATTTAAGCCTGCTCCTACCTAAAAACATATTTTGGTCTGCCTGGCTGTAATCAAAGGCAGCAAACTCAGCATCCTCTCTCTTCTCTCTCTTTTCTTTCTTCTTCTTCTTCTTTTTCTTTGGTTTGTCATCGTCAGTAGTTTTGAGATTGACATGGTCTTCTTTCTCACGATCCCTCTGTCTTTGTTGGATAGTCATCTAAATGAAATATGGTTTAGATATGTATCTAATCTACCTGTTACTGCAAAAATACTTATCATACCAAAATTAAAAATATTTTTTATAAAATCAAGGAAGAAGATTACCTAAATCTGTTAATATAAGCTCTGCATCTGCTGAAATGTGCCTCAAACTGACGGTTTTATAAAATTACAACGAGACTATTTCAGTCTTAGCTTTATCACTTACATGTACTCATTCTTATGTAAACAATAGCCTTCAGTGAAATCTTACCTCTCTCACTGACAATTCAATCTGTTCTGATACTGGGTCAGGCTTAACTTTCTTTGGAGGTGGACCTAGGAAAATTTAATGCTGAGGTTTTATTATTAACAGACTTCCCCTGTGTCAGATGACAGAATTATACTTTAGATAGATTATACTATTATTATATTTATATTAGTAGATTATTCTAACCTTTAGGTGGGCTAGGAGATCGTTCTTTCCTCTTTGTATTTTTCTTTAATGTCCAACTTCCTAGACTCTGTGCCTTTGTAAAACACATCATATTTTATTTTTTTTTGAAATATAGAATTTATTTTGGAATTAAAAAAATAAATATCATTAAGAATTGTCCAATTTACTACCTCTTTTTCTGCAGAAGGTTTACCATCATCTGGCAGAAACTGTAATAAAGAAAGATGTTAAAACCATGCATGATTAAATGTATAAAATGTGCATCAGAAATTCAATTTCCCAAAGTGCTTTGAGCTCAATTATTAATATTGTCTTGCTATAATTCAATCTTTCCCCCCTAAAGTAAGCAAGTAATTAACATTTCTGTCATGTATGAGCCACCAATGTGTCCCTGTAGCGAATTTGACACTATTTCTATTATTGACCTTGCCAACATAATCACAAGTCAAGGTCACGGCACATTCTTTGGTCATAAGCAATGAGACTTCAATGTTCCTCCTAACACAGATACAAGCCAAAAGGAATTATATACTTTTTCAGCCAGCTTATCATAGGGATGGATATCGCCAAAAACTTCGTATCGCAATATATCACGATTTTCCCCCCAAAAATATCACGATAATATCATGATATATTTACAAGCAAATTTTACAATGACTTTAAATGAATATTCAATAAATGATTATTTTTTCCTAAAAATATGCTGGAAAAACATCACTTCACTCTTTTCATTTTTTTTTTATTTACATAATATCTAGCAATTTAGGATACTAAGATGCCATTCTTTTACTGTTTTCAACACTTTTTACACTTCCTGTAACTGTAATTTGAAAGATTGAACAAATAAATGGATAAGTTCTGTAATTTATAACTACGTACCTAAATAGCGGTATCTTAGTCTCCGTATCAGGATACGTATCACACAATTAAAAATCAGGATATACCAGTATAACGATAAAATCACACATCCCTAGTTTATTAGCACTTGCCCTATTAACTTTGGGTCAAGGTCATGATATTCTTTCAGATGTGTCAAGTATGAGCATCCAAAGTCTCTATGTTACAAAGCTGTTGGTCAGACAAAACACTCTTGTCCAACTGACCTTGGATAAAGGTCAGGACACATCCTCAGGTAATTAGTAATCAAGTACCTTTGTAAACGGGCTTAAGAAGGCAGAAGCAAGTGCTGCAGCAATCCTCTGTCCCTTTGTGACTTTTTTCTTCTCCCTCTGGTGGTATAAATAGAAATGTAATAGGTGTAGATGTATGTCATACAATTAATAGTAATCACATCATATAACAAAAGAACACAAAGAAATAAATCAAACCTTGTCACCAAATGCTGTAAGAAGGGGACTGGCCTTGACCCTTACTATCAAGCCAGAGTTATTGGTACCATACAGCATGGAGGACTTTGTCACCATGGAAACATCTGAGTTAAAAAATAATTAAGAGTACAGAAAACAGCGTTGTTTTCTACTTATCACACTTGCAAATGATTTCACCCCATGTTAAATTTACAAACGCAGACTGCAACAAGAGAGATAATGCGGTCTGTGTTAAATTTGCCCACTGAGGATGAGGATGAAGTGGCAAAAAATAAAAAGCAGGTACCGGTAATCATTTCCTGTATATAGTATTATTTTTTTCAAATAATTGAAGTCATAAAGACAGATTCCAAAAAAAAAGAAAAAGAAAAAAGAGAAAGGGTGAAACAGGGCAGACAAGAACATATTTTGAAAGAGAGAGAGAGAGAGGGAGATTTACCTGGGAGAGTAGTAGACTGCTGGCTTTCTGACATGTGACTGAGGTCATGGTGACAGTTTAGGAGACTGTTCGGGTCGTATCTAGGATGCTGATATGAACTAGGTCTCTTCTCTTGTGGTAATGACACCTGATACAAATAATAAGGTCATCTTCAGATGTATTTCAAAAAGGGTATAAACATGTACCTGATGAAAACCTTTTTTAGAACCTACATGTATTTTTCAGTTGAAGTAGACTATAATAGGTTATAATTTTAATGAACTTTAATAGTAATAAATCAACACTGAATGCATTTATTAGTAAAGTGTGCACTATTGCAATCCTTTAGTGCAGTAAGTAATATTGTATACCTATATAATGGAGAATGTAATATTGTATACCTTTAATAAGGAGTGTGTAACATTGTACATCTATAATAATAAAGCCAGTACAATGATATTTATATACCTTTATCAAAGGAGCCTCCCGAGCTTCCAAAATAAACTTGTGTATTTCCGGCAGAAACTGTCGCACTAGTGGAGGAATGGGCGTACAACAAGCAAAGATCCCCTGTTGTTCTCGTGGCAGAATCTCCGCTATCTGTAGAAGCATGTGGTTGGGAAGAACGTATCTGTTGAGATTAATGGACATTGTATACAAACAATACACTATTCATCAATAAATTCTCAATTTACTAAGAGTTCCTTAACTATACTTAGAAAAATATTAAGGGCCTATAAAAAGAAACATTTAACCATCAATTTACTTCATTATCATTTAGCTATCACAATTACGACACTCAAACCATTTTGTTTCTGACTTACAAAGAAAGTCAGTTACAGTTGAACTTCAGTATCTCGAACACTGATATCTCGAATACCATGGATATGTTGAAGTGATTTGGAAGTCCCAACTACTCATTCTTTAAATATTTTACCCTCGATATCTCGAATCCTTAGATATCTCAAAGTTTTTTCTCGGTCCCTATCGAGTTCGAGATAATGAGGTTTGACTGTATTTACTTTACACAGTTCCTTAGTCCTCATTATATTTGTCATCCACTATTGTGATAAAGTCCCTGTCTAATACAACTTCTATAGTTATATAATTCTTACCCAGTACTTTCGTCTTCCACCCTGGCCAGTTTGTCCCTCCATTGATACAATTTCTGTAGTGCCTGTAGCTGCCGCGAGTTAAACACCTTTTTACTTTTCTTGTACAACTCGAGGTAGGTATCCTCCTTAAACACTGCCTTCTTATATACCTGTAGATTACATAACAATTACAGGGTAGGTGTAAATTACTTGTATATCAGTGTTACATGTGTGTAGATAATACAACAGTTACAGGTATGTTTATATTACCAGTACTGTGAAATCATAAAATAATTTGGGGGTTTAAATTTTTTTTTATTTTCGTCGATTTAACTCCACAATTCATTCCTCCATGAAATATAAAATTTCAAATACATTTATATAATAACTTAAGAAAATTTGACCCCCCCCCCCCAAAAAAATTAATTTCACAGTATATCATTTATAATTGTGTAGAATACACATGTATTACAATTACAGGTACATGTTACATGTATAAAATTACAAATACATTATTGAATATAATATTACAGTTAGTTACATGCATGTTATATCAAAGTTACATGCATGTACATGTAGGTTATATTACAGTTACAGGAACGTGTTTGTGTTTGTTATACTTATGTACAGTTACATGTGTGTAGAAAATACATGTATTATATTAAAAGTTACATGTATGTAGATAAAATAACAGGTACATGTATATGTTCAGTTACTTGTACCTGATGATTCTATTGTAGGTATATGTATCTGAAGATAACATTACAGTCACATGTACCTGCAGGTAATTTTACAGTAATGTAATGGTAGAAGTACCTGTACCTGTAAGTTATGTCACAGTATCTGTATGTTATAATACCAGTAAGTTACATCACTGTTACATGTACCTATACGTCATGACACATATACATGTACAAGTATATTATTACAAAGTTAAATTTCTTTCCAACATCTAGATCTGTAACTCTGTTATAAACATATAAATTTTATTATGAGTTGACCTTGGCACAGATTTCTGTACTCCTCTGTAGGACAGACATCAACAAATTCTTCTGATCATTTCCTCTCGCCAACAGTTCTTGCTTCATTCTGTGGTAGATGTACAACAGGTAATGTGTGTCGTCACGAGCGTACTGCATCAGCTCCTCAGGAAGAGGTCTAAAAACAGAGGGTATACAACAGATATACACTGAATAGGAAGATTTTAACAAAAACTAACAAAAAAAACACAAATCTGAATAAAGTTCCTTAAAAATTAGTAACAAGGAAAAGAACTGTCCATTTTCAATGATATTCTTATTTTATCAATGCTATACATGCAATCTTGATAATCATTAAAAATAGGAATTTTTGATTTTACTTTACTGAATTTTGTATTCTTTAAGCGATGAATTTAATTTTTGAGAATTCATGAGGACATCAACTACGACACTTCACACCTGCATATTTCATAAAGTGCGTTAGCACTTCACGATAAATATGCAGGCATGAAGCACTGTAGTTCATGTACCTCATGAATTCTCAAAAACTAAATTCATATCTTATATTTATATTATTTTTTTGAAGACTTGCCACATATTTTTGTCATTCAACGATCATTTTTGGAAAAAAAAGTTTGGACTATTTTTTTACTTCAAACACATCACAATGGAAATATTCTTACACATCCCACGGTAGTCCATGAGAACATGAACTTTTTCTAATTACCAAAGAATCTTAAGGAAAAATATTTGGAAATGTAAATATTTATCAATTAATGGAGAGACTTCAAAATTTTTAAAATTTTTAATATACCGGTAATTTTTATTATATATTAAATAATCACATACCGAATTCTCCAATCAGCTAGCTGGTATTGTTTGTCTGTGGTGACATTACAGTAGTGCTCCATCAAATGAGCCAATGAAAAACGAGCATGGTTAAGTACCCTGGCAGCTTGTCCTGTGTCAAACATATTCACTACATAGAGGCCAAAGTCTCTCTGTAGCCAATCAATATCACTGTCTGCTCCATGGAAAACCTAATATTATAACAGCAATATTAAACAGTCTGACCATGCTCTTATATACTACACCCAAAAAAACACTTTTTTTTTTTTAATTTTAAGAGCCTGTGCTGATTATGTATTACCTGTCTGATTATTAAGTCTTTCCACCTTTCTGTGGAAAGATCTCTTGAAATGCTTATGTTTATTATTCTTTCTTTCTAAATCTCTTCAACACTTCACAACTATACACATGAAATTTATTTTGGCACATTCATATTCTAAAGTTTAATATATAATTAAGGTGATCAACTGCCATCCTCTTAAACCATGTACTGACACACTTTGTAGAGGTTTTACTAGTATTACCTTTACAACAGCAGGGTTTGTGAGTATCTCGTTAAGGGGAGATAAGTCATTTCTTAATGACAGAGTGTCAATCAAGAAGTCTTCTGTTGCTGTTGAGATCTGCATCAAGCAGGTTATTCCCTGGAAAGTCCTGTAGGAATGATGCTAAAACAAAAAAAACCCAAAACACTAATTAAGAATTACATACTGTACAACACAACACAAATCACCATCAGTAATTCCCTGGACAGCCCCGTGGAGTGATGCTGAAAAACCAGAAAACCAGAGAATCACATCTTACAAGAATTCCAAACCTCCCCATACATACAACACAAGTCCTATAGGACTGATACTAGAAACAAGAGACGTAAAGCTTTGTGAGAATATCTCACTGACAAAACAAGAGGCCCATGGGCCTTGAATCACTCTTCTGATAAACTGTGCAACCTATCACTTCTATTTGAACCCTCGAAGTATCCTGTATATTTAGATAAACCCTTGAAATTCGAATTTACACTCTGAGAACCCAAGATGATTCTAAGCCAATTAGTACCTGAGAGTTGGTCATGGTGACCCACTTATCACTTGTCATTGTCTGAGGACCCATCAACTAAGTTTGATGATTCTAAGCCAATTAATACCTAAAATATTTTCTAAAATTATAACCATAAAATTTTATAAGTAGGTCAAAGTGACCTACTTTTCAATTGTTGTACTCCAAGGACCCAAGATGCATCAATTGACAAAGTTTGATGATTTTAAGCAAATTAGTACCTGAAATATTTAATTAAAGCCATAAATTTTCAAAAGTAGGTCACAGTGACCTACTTTTCAGCCAATCTACTCCGAGGACCAAAGATGCATCAACTGACAAATTTTGACGATTCTAAGCCAAATAATTCCTGAAAATATTAAATACAGCCATAAAATTTCAAAAGTAGGTCACCGTGACCTACTTTTCAGTTGTCGTTCTCCAAGGACCCAAGATGCATCAACTGACAAATTTTGACGATTCTAAGCCAAAAAGTACCCAAAATATTTAATTAAAGCCATAAATTTTTAAAAGTAGGTCACCGTGACTTACTTTTCAGTTGTTGTACTCCGAGGACCCAAGACGCATCAACTGACAAAGTTTAATGATTCTAAGCCAAAAAGTACCCGAAATATTTAATTAAAGCCATAAATTTTCAAAAGTAGGTCACCATGACCTACTTTTCAGTTGTTGCACTCCGAGGACCCAAGACACATGAACTGACAAAGTTTTATGATTCTAAGCCAATTAGTACCCGAAATATTTAATTAAAGCCATAAATTTTTGCAAGTAGGTCATGGTGACCTACTTTTTAGTAGACCTACTCCGAAGACCCAAGATGCATCAACTGACAAAGTTTGATGATTCTAAGCCAATTAGTACCTGAAATATTTAATTATAGTCATATAAATTGAAAAGTAGGTCACGATGACCTACTTTTCAGTTGACCTTTTTTGAGGACCCAAGATGCATCAACTTACAAAGTTTTATGATCATAAAACTAAAAATGTCCAAATTATGCTTCTAAAACGCTTTGAAATCAAATGCCTGCAAAGTTCAAAAAGTATGTCACTGTGACCTACTTTTTAATAAATATGTTTTATGGCCCCAAGATGCATCATCTTACAAGATTTAATGATTCTAAACCTCTCGGTATTCGAATTAATGACCTTAATTGTTTTGAGAAAGATAAGCCATAAAATTCAAAAAGTAGGTCAAGGTGACCTACTTTTTAGTTGACATACTTCGAGGACCTAAGATACATAAACTGACAAAGTTTGATGATCATAGGCCTTAAATTGTTCAAAATATGCCTCTAAATCATTTTGAAAAAGAATGGCCGCAAAATTTAAAAAGTAGGTCACCATGACCTACTTTTGAGTCAACATGATATGAGGTCCTTAGATGCATCAACTGACAAGATTTGATGATCCTAGTCCTTATAGCAAGCAAAATATCAACATTTTAATAAAATGTAATTTTTGGTCAACTTTGAAGTGACCTTGAGATCACGCCCTTTGCCCCAGGGTAAATCCCCGTGCAAATTTTAATCTACAACATATCCTCATCCTTTTGTGTAAGTTTGGTGATAATCTGCCCAGTGGTTCTTGAGAAGAAGATTTTTTAGCAACCAGTACTTTTGTTTCTATTTTCCTAATTATCTCCCCTTGTTAAAGGGTCACAACCCCAGTTTTAGTATAAAAGGGAGCCCTTGGGCCAAGGATACCTTGTGACAAATTTGACAATAATTGGCCAAGGGGTTCTTGAGTTATGGCCCATATTCTAAAAATTTTACGCACACCGCACGCCGCACAAATGGCCATAGCATTAGCTCTTTGAGCCTTTGGCTCAGAAGAGCTAAAAATTCCATAATCTTCCCAAACATACAAAACAATGACAAATTCGTCAGAATTTCTACACTGAGACTAGGAACCCTATAATTTAAAATATTTCTTTGTAACTGACTTACTTCTAAATCAACAGCTAGAATTTCCTCTTTTCGTAATCTATCAAGGATTGTCTGAAATTCTGTCACCGTGGAGACAAAGGTCAGGGGGGTATCAGCTGTAGAAAGTGGCCTCTGAAAAAAAAGTCCAGTGAATAACTTTAATACAATTTCAGATGTACAATTTTATTCAACATTGAAAAATAATTCTTTAAATCTTTAAGAAAATTTGTTTGATATTAGAACATGTCAGATTGAAAAATACCATCAAAATCTTACAATGGGTTCCGAGGCTTGAAGTTGCTTCTCTATTGGTTTAAACACACGTAGTTCAAACTTGTATGGATGTGGATAACTGTAATTAAATTAAAATTATTTCTATTGTTATTAGCAATTGCTCTCATACAAGATCTTTGAAATGTGTCTAATAGATTTTTTGAATAATTTAAGAATTTATGCAGATAAGCTTAAATTGAAGTAGAAATAAGATTTCTCTTTAATGTTTAAGGGTGGAAATGACTTACAGAAAATCTGGTTCCTCTAACATTTCTGGTGTAATATCTTCATGTAGTTTCAAACTCTCTGTAGGAAAGAAAGAAATTCCAAAAATGTAAATACCTTATTCACCTTGATAAGTGACCAGAGCACTTACAAAATAAAGAAAGGTGTTGCTTCATACATTCAACTTTGATAAAATACTGCATAGCCCTTATTTTTGGGGGTCAATTTTTCTAGGTTTGGTGAAAAAATTACTGGTTCAAGGGGATTTGATTTTGTGGTTATGAAAAATTGTGATTTCACAGTACCAATTTCAGTTAGATGGTCAATTATTGACAAAGTATTGGGTACTTTAAATTTTGTGCATGGTTATTTTCATCTTTTCTAATTGAATTTCACTTTGGCTCTTAATGCTGGGTGCATCTTTTTACTCTCTTTTATCATCGGTCTATCTTCTTGATAATTTTCACAAAAAATTTCTAATACATTTTATTCTAATAAAAAAATACAGGGTATATCAGTATACAGTATATAGATTTCTATTTGTTAACGTTATTTACCAAATCAAATTCACAATACCCACAGTGCAAAAATTTACTACAAACCATCTTGATGCTGGACAGTATATTATGTACCTTCCAGAGACTGAAGAGCATTTGGCTTCTCCGTAATTCTCGGGACAAAAGGTCTGTTCTCATTGTCAATCTTGTCCCTAAACTTCAGCTGAGGTCTCTGTATATTTCTGGCTGTAAGAAGCTTGTACTCAGATATGCTTGGGGATGCAGAGCTCTGTCAAGTGTACAAAGATTAAAAGAAAAAGCTACAGGTACATCACATAGGTGATAAACAATGTCAATGTACTACAACAAAGATGTTCCTGCATGGATTTTATACAATAAAATTAAAAAGTGAGATATTCAGCACATATAAACTCATACCAGTAATTCTTACATAAAATAGTTATACAGTTAGTGTATCTCTTTAAACTTGAAGATTCATACCCTCTTATTCCAGCTGGCAGTGGATGCTTGTTTAACTTTTGGAGTGGCTGTTGCAATGATCAAATCTTCTTCCTTTTTCTTTAGGCCAGCAGATTCATCCAGATAGGATCCCTGCCGAAGAGGAATTTTTAAAGCATACAGATTCATCTTTATAGCCAATATCTCCTCAAAAATTTAATTTTTCTTCACTTTATTTTTTTTATTATTGAAAACCAAATGCTCTCCAAATTTATCAATGAATACTTTTTATTTAGAGAATAGTGTGTGTCACAGATATTATTATAAAGTTTTACCACTTTCTCCAAAATATGGTCATTAGCATCCATCAAGACATCAAATTTGTCCTCCAGGTCATGGGCATCAGATGATGATGTCATGTGTCCCTTCACATTGTGGTAACGCAACACATTCTGGATACTATCAAGAGCATTTCAAAAAACATTCATAGGCAATTGTTTTGTAAAACACATTTTGATGGGCTAATGGACTGATATTTGAAGCAGTTAAATGAGTATAAACATGAACGAAAGCTTCTGATAGTGATATCATAACGTATTTCATATCACAAAATGCAACAAAATAAGACGTTAACATCAAACATAAATTGCATAAGAATGGGAATAACTATCTTCTCTTTTTTTTTCCTGCGACCATTAATGCTCATTTGAGGGTCGCAAACATTCATTTTCCAGCGATGCTGACACGTCATCGGTAAAACTCAGTTTGCGACTGTTAAATCAGCATTTAATAACTGTCGCAAATAACAATTGACAAGATAGTTATTCCTTAAATTATCTATTACAATCTGACAACCTCCCCCCCCCCCCCCAAATATGAAAACTGATAATGGATTCATTATTTCATTATCATTAATTCATAATGATACTTGGATATATGAAGACTGAAAAGAACCAATTGCATGTTTTACAAATATATTAAACAAGTATTTGTATATTTCCTTACATATTGAGGACCCGCTTCCCCTCAATGTCCAGAATGTCCCGCACGCCTTGGAAACTTGAGTAGTAATCAAAATCATCTCCAGCAGCAGGCAAGTCGTTTGATGCACGAGTCGCTTGTAATACAGACTTCAGTGCTTGCTAAAAATAAAGTTAAAAAAATGATGTACATGTAGTTTCAATAAAAAAGATTAAATGAAAAAATAAGCGTTAGTGATTATGAGCTACGAATTCAATTAATCACAATTCGCTTTAGTTTTCATTATTACTCCCTTCCAGTGATGTTGGAGTCTTGGACTTGGAGGAAATTCGAGACAATATCTCCACGTGCTTGAAATCTGAATAAATAGGTAAATTTAATAAAACATTTATAATTCTTAAACGCCCACTTTGTCTCTGAAATATACCTGTGTAAAAGTGTTTACATCCTGAAACCCGGGAATAGGCCCAGACTTTTCATTGCTCGTGTTTTGACTGTCATCAGACATTTTCTTCCATCGGACTCAATACCTATATGTAGAATATCAAACCCGATTCAATTAGATGTAGTTTCAAAAAAAATCATGAACTTGCTTAATGAACTTGTGATATTGACACAGTTGTTATCTCCACCTTTTATAGTAAAAATATTGTCAATTTTACAACCCCAAAATTTGCTTTTTTGCTAAAGGGGGGAGGGGGGATTTATTATATTTTCAGCATTCATATTATCCTCTACTACCCAAACTCCGTCACCATAAGCGGAAAACACGCCAGGTTACTCTCTCAATAATTTTTTTTAATTTGTTTCTTGCTTGCTAAACTTAGTAAAGAACTTAAACATTGTTTTCAGGTCTATTTTAAAAAATTCAGTTATTGGGCTTATACAAAACTACTATAAATAGAACGCGGATCACATCCGTGTACATTACGTTCAATGAATCCTAACTCCGTCACCTGCAGGGCCCTCTACAATATGTCAACGAATTGATAATAATTTTTTTTTTCCAGTTTGGTATTTTCTCTCTTCATCTTGAACTTGTAAACATAAAAAATAGTTTTGAAGATTTTTAAAAAAAATGGTATTAAATTGTATTTTAGGAAAAGTATCAACAACAGAAAAAATAACGTTAATGTAACGTATTTTATATGTAATAACGTCACGCTACGTTATCTCCAACGTGTAGCATATTAGGGCAAATTGAGACGAAAAATAAAATATTTTTAGCCATATTCAATATGGTATGTCTTATTAATCCTTTGTCAAAAACCTTCATAAATACGACTGACATGTAAAAATGAGCATATTGACGCACATGTCGGAGGTATCGATGGTATAGCGCATAAAGGAAAAAGTGCTTACTGATTTCACATAAAATACGATAGATACAATAGATCACGTGTAACTGTTATTTAAGAAATAAACAACAATGTTAAAAAGTTCTCTGGGAAATGAACTTGGTTGGTCACGTGATCAAATCCTGTGAAGCCCGAAGGGCATCTCAGAAGATTTGATCACGTACCAACCACGTTCATTTCCCAGTGAACTTTTTAACATTGTTGTTTATTACTTTTATTTACATTTGAGACGGATATTCTGAAAAGAACAGCATTTATTACACGAACGGCCCGCCGTATTGCTATGTTGTGATGCGCAATGACCTAGAAGCTGTTTGGTCTTGAGAGTTCACCTCGCTCCAACATTTGAATAATTACATTGATGTTCAGCAGTCCAGTTCAGGAAATATCTGTTCATAATGAAAAAACAATGATCGCTACTGAGAATAATCTTACTTTTATTATATGAGTTCTTAATATATGAAGTCAAAAGCGGTGGTATCGTCTTCAGTTTACTTACCTTCAAAGGAATTTCCGGTTAAAAAGGTAAGCGTGATTTTAGGCTAATAAAAAACATTCTTCACACCGAAGAAAGAACTAATGATCATTTTTGAACGAAAAAAACACACATATGTTTCAATAATTTTACCTTTTTCATCGCTTTAACGGCTTAGAAGTTCCGAAACCAGTGTCACCGTGACAGAAATATGTAGACAAGATATCATCTCGCTGTGTGATTCGGTCACACCATGACCTCTGACCCCCTAATTAGTTCATACAGAATTGAACATATTTTCTCTTCAATAGGTTCATCTAAGAAAAATATTTGCAAATGTAAATAATTATTTTTGACGCATTCTTGACCGTCATAATTTCTCGAAGATTTTCAGCATGTAAAAAATGACGTCACAATCGCATTCACAAACAGCGCGGAGTTTCCCGAAAGTGACGGAGTTAGGGTAGTGACGGAGTTAGGGGGTTTGGCAATACTATAATTTGCCTCTGCCATTTTTTTTTCAAACATTATGTGAAAAAATGTGATTCGAAAGTTAAACATTTTCAACAACCTGTGTAAAGATCTGCACAGGATTATGACTTGGGAAGATAATATCCTTGGAAGGCAAAGTGTCGATACCCGGATCAGCTACTTCTGTTGCACAGATAAATCTGTTTTCAATTTAATGTTTTGAATGACAATTACATGCATAAAAGATATAAAAAAGAAAAAAAAAATAAAATTTAACTTGAAGTTGTTAATTAATAATTTCAGATTAAAAGTTAGCAATTTCAAATTGATAATTTATAATTTTAAATTAATTACTTAAATGAAATCATTTGTCACTTTGAATTAATAGTTTGTCGTTAAAAGAAAAACTTTCGTAGTAAAAGCCCATAAATTAAAACTGAAGGGGAAAAATCAATAAAGATTCATCACAAGAAATACATGCATTGTTACGATTGTAGAAAGTCTTTACACGACTCTTTTATATTTTGACGTCATAATTATGTGGAATTTACTACCGTAAACGTCCTATGACGTCAGCTCCATAGCTACGTTATAAAAGCAATCACGTCAAAACCAGGCAATGAATGAATGTACGTTTCAGCCATAAAGCGATGCTCGTATGTCATAATTCTCTCCGTCTGTGGATATCTAACCATTGCAATGCTTAAGAAATTATTCCGACGTGGTAAAAAGACCAAAGCTGTGACTCAGAAAGACTCCGCTCAATCATTGGAAATGTCGCCAGCGCGATTATCGGAATTATCGGTGGAACGATTATTGCCAGAAAGTGAACAGGACGACGAGGATTCAGATTCAGCATCCATGAAAGTTCTTGGGGCCTCTACAGGTTCACGTTCTTGTAGCGAAAGCTCTAGTTATGCACGTTTAAATGAAGATGCTAGAGAGACGGATGGCGAGTATAAGAAGACATGTCGCCAACTCAACAGCGCCATGCAAAAGTTTAGGTGGGGTTCAAAACTACTTAATTACTATTCTGAACATATCAAGTTTCTTTAAGCTCTGTGACACAGTTTTCACCCCTTCAGTTAAATATATTACGTTCTACTGACCAAGCTAAATGTGCATTTCAAAAACGCTGCAACAATATAATTGTACAGTAGATAAGTAAAGAATATGACTTATGGACTGTGTTATTCTGTTGCAGAAGGAAAGAGGCAAAGATAAAGAAAAGACAGAGAGACATTGTCTGTATGCACCATGAACTCTGTGAATTGACTCGTTTGATGCACCTGGCAAATGTACAAGCAAACTCGCTGGATCAAGCACTAGATCATACCAAGATGGAAATGGCCACTCTCTGTTCTCAAAGTAAGTTACATCAGTATAATAAATAGGGGACGGGGTATCAATTAAAACTTAATAAAGTGAAAAAATTAGCAAGAAATAGTTCTGTACGCAGTGTAAAGATAAAAACTGAAATCTTAATGCTTTGTAGTAGATTACGATTCTGAGGAGGATATTCGCAAGCGAGAACCTCTTTGCTACAAAAAATTCAAAAACGCTTCAACTAAAGCCGACACGGAAAAAGTCCTCAACATGATCCGAGGTCGCCAGAATGCGCTTCGGCACCTGGAAGTTCTCGCCTACAAGAAGCTGCTGATGCATTCTAATAGCCTTAACAACGCCAGGATAGATATCAACGAGTGCTCAAACAAAGACAAAAAGAGTGCAGAAAATATGGCTTCTTTGCGAAGTCGCCGAAAGCCCCCTACACCACCCAAACCCAACTTTCGAAGCCCTGGCGGGCGACTGAATTCTCATCTTCAAAGCGCACAGACTCTGTTAAATGAATTATTACAAATCAGCGGAACGGTCGCTAATGGACCACAAAGTGAAACAGGGTCCGAAATTAGTCCCATAAACGTAGTGAGCGTCGAGAACGGACCGCTCGGCGGAACGGGCAATGATAATGGGCCGCTGGGACCGCAGGAATCTGATGTCTGAAGTTAAACAAGTTCTTTTGGAAACTAAGGACCCGATTGGGGTCTTTTTGGTATGAGAAATACCATCCCACTAAAGTTGTCTATTAAATTTCCCATTTACAGGGAAATGATGTGATTTTAACATGTATAATTATAAAGTTACTTTCCTAAAATCCTTGTCAACCATGCAATAAATAGATACATCCATTTCCCCATAACTTGGTCTCTTTAATTTTGCATTAATATAGAAGAAAAATTCAGTATCAAACATGATTGCAAACTTACTAGGGTCTGTTGAATAAAGGAAAAGTTTGTGAAAAAGATAGATATTGTTATTCCTTTTCTACCGATTGCTGCTAAGTCCAGTAATCAAATTACAGACCTTTGAGATGTGTAACAAAGAACATTATTATACCTCTACTGTTATTACTCTGTATAAAATTAATACCATAAAACTGTTTATTTCCTTGGGATGATACCATTTCCCTCATCTGAGGACTACTCCCTGAAAAATCGGAGCTACTCCCTGGAACTACTCCCTCATGAATATCTATTAATAATTTTAACCAATTAAAATGAAAAGTGGGCGGAGCGTTCAAGGAATCTCGAGTCTGTGACGTAATGTTATTAGCAATGTAACTATCGGGGGTATATAGTTTTTGCCCTGTCTGTCTGTCTAGCTGTTTGTTTGTCCGCAAAAACTTTAACATTGCCCATAACTTTTGATTGGTTGGAGCTATCATTTCACATGTGTATTCCTTGTGACAAGACTTTTCTTTGGGTATCATCACATTTGACCTTTTGACCTTGACGTTTGACCCAGTTTTGAAAAATTTTACCAAACTTTAACATTAGCCATAACTTTCGAACAATTGGTGCTAGGGCTTTCATACTTCACATGTGTAATCCTTGTGTCAAGACCTTTTCTTTGGATACCAACAACTTTGACCTTGACCTAGGAGTTTGACCTTCGTTTGAAAAACTTTAACCTTGGCCATAACTTTTGAACAATTGGTGCTAGGGCTTTCATTTTTTCACATATGTTATCCTTGTGAAAAGACCTTCCTTTGGATACGAAAAACTTTGACCCCTTGACATTGGAATTTGACCTACTTTTTGAAAACCTTGGCCATACATTTTGGACAGTTTGTGTTAGGACTTTCATATTTAACATGTCTATTCCTTGTGACAAGGCCTTCCTTTGGATATCAACAATTGTAATCCATTGACCTTGAGTTTGACCTACTTTTGAAAAACTTAAATCTTGGCCATAACTTTTGAACGACTAATGCTACGGCTTTCATATTTCACGTGTGTATTTCTTGTGAGAAAGCCTTTCCTTGGGCACCATTAATTTTGACCATTTGACCTTGATGTTTGACTTACTTTTGAAAAAGTTTAACGTTTTCCATATCCATTCAATGGTTGCTGCTAAGGCTTTCATATTTCACAGGTATATTTCTTGAGACAAGACCTTACTTTGGGTACCAACATATTTGATTTGCATTTGAGAAAGTTTAACCTTTGCTATAAGTTGCCATACGGGGGCATCAGTGTTTCACAAACACACCTTGTTAACAATGTTGTGAACACAGTATCTGGAGTAATGCCCTTTTTCACATGGCATAAAATTTAACAGTATCGTAACAGAAATGGTGGATGGCCATTGGTATATGCAAATATCAGTGTCCTTAACATTATTGAGGACCTTGATAAGAAATAAGGTATAATTTTTAAACAAATTCCAGGATGCTAATTTTAAAAAATTTACGAATTGCTACAAAGGTATCAATAGTATACGGGATTGTCATGAGATAAAAATAACCATTTGTCAAGACCAGAGACACTCTATATCAGTTGACTTTTAACGTCTCATAATTGGTACAGAGATGGGTGGTGCACATTGGAAGAAGCTTTTTAAATCCAGCCAAAAGGTCAAGGGAGTATATTATTTGAACAGTCAAATGTTTTCTTTGTTTATTATACGGTGATGGAGATTGCAACATTGCAGAAAAAAGAACATGTTTTATAGGATTATGTTTTTCTCTGCATGCAATGATTGCAGTTGTGCATCTACGTAAACAGTTAACTGGGTAATTTTCGCCCCGTGTTATTTTCGCCCTATTACACTTGCAACAAATTGTTGACCGTTCACGGTAGCTCAATCTGTAGAGCGCTCGCTCCGTGATCGGGAGGTCGTGAGTTCGAATCTCGGCCGCGACTGACCTAAGTCGATAAAAAATGGGTAGCAACTGTTCCTTCGCCATCACTCGGCACTTTGAAGTGAAAGTTGCGGGTCCTTCGGATGAGACCTTAAAAACCGAGGCGTTGGCACGATAAAGATCTCTCACTGCTCAATGGCCCTGAGTGCCGAGTAAAGGTCAAAATTTGAACCCCTTCACCGGTATATGGTGACGTCTCTATATGAGTGAAAAATTCTCGAATGGGCCGTTAAACAACATACAATCAATAAATCAATCTAAATTGTTATGTTTGAAGAGCGATAACTCTGTCTGTTAAATAAATTCGAGCACTGGACCAGGGCGAGAATAAAACGGGAAGAAACCGTAATATATAGTAGTCAAACGCTGAAAGACATTTTAAAGTTTATGTCTTTAAATTATCCGTATAGAATGGGTGAAAGTACGTAAAGTATTGTTCTATAATTCGTGCGTTACATTTATTAAATAGCCGTGAATCCTTGACAATTAATTCTCAAAATATCTTTTATTACAGATGGCTTTACAAAAATGGATGTACATAATATTGTAGCAAGTTAAAGAAGTGAAGAATTGTTTTTATTGCTTCAGATAAACAGCAATCGTTTTTTTTATGATAAATAAATGAGAAAATATTCGGTGAGATGTAATTTATATAATTTGTGAACAATACATCGAAACTGTGTTCTTTGAGTATAATGTGAGGGGGACGTTGGGCTTTGCAATACCCTTATTTCACTGAAGGCTACATTTAGGTTCAGATGAAGAAAAATATAAACGACCATGGATGAAATGCTCCTGTCTTGATTTAGTAAAAAAACATGTACATGTAGTTTATTTATATTTTTATTTATAACTGTATTTACATGTTAAAGTAACAAAACAAGTGGACATTTAATAACAAGCACTGTCTATCAAACACTCCCTCCAAATGTTTACGTTGTCTCAGCCACTCTGTGAACTTTGTTTATTTTCTGAATTAAGTTGTTCTCCTTCTCCCTCAGTTTAGCAGCTATATCCAGCTGTGAAAAAAAGAAATTATTCTATCAACAGAGAAATTTTATAGACATAGAAATTCATCAATTGATTTAATCTCTAATGCACTGCTGTGATTATGTTCAAAGAAATTATTTATCAGCAAAGCAGGTCAGTACATAGGAATCATCGCCCAGGGTCTGTACTCTTCTCACCTTGGAACCACCATAGATAACAAATTAGATATTTAAAACATGAATTGGTTGTCAAAAGATCTTTTGCAAAAGCAAACATTGTAGGTCAGTGATGTCATGAGATGACCTTGCACTTTACCTTTGATCTATTTTTTTTTTAATAACATTCTTTAAATGGCTAATGATAGGCTTAGCATGCCTGCTGCTTACGTATTCTATAAATTTTGAATTTATATCAATAGGTGAAAATTTTATATTTAGCATGTTAATATCTTGCTGCAAGTTCTTCAGAGTAATATGACCTTTTATAACCTTGACTTGTATTCTGAATTTTACTCTAAATTCGAATAAAATTATGTTTCAAACTTAGTCCTTAGGTGGCTACAAGATTTTCCTCAAAACGTAATGTTCTTTGGATACTCTAGCTTTTAAATTTGTACCAGCTTTTGATTTTATATAATTATGAAACAATACAAACAACACTTAACAATAAGTACCACATTCTTACATTCACCTTATTACAAATATTGTAATAACATGTACGCTACCCTAATATAGATTTTCCATAAGCTGACATCAACAAGTCTGTTAACCGTTTTTTTACAAGTACAAACCTGCATGCCTGAAATCTGCTTCTTTGTGACAATTTTTATGGATACTAAATGATAAAATTGACATAAGATCTTTTTTTGTGAAACTTTAGAACAGTGCTAGTCTGAGAACCTAATATCTGCTCCTTTATGACTCTAAACTATAAGTACATGCACTTAGCTGAAGGCCTGACATTAGTTCCTTAGTGACATTTTATAACTGCTTTTGGGACTTTTTAAGACATGTACTACCCAGAAGGTGCCTCCGACATTTTATTACTGACATTGGCTCTTTTGAGACACTTTAATACATGTACTAACCTGTACGTCTGACACCAGTTCCTTTGTGACATTTTATTACTGACATTTTTGTGACATTACTGACATTGGCCCTTTTGAGACACTGTACTAACCTGTAGGCCTGACATCAGCTCCTTTGTAACACTCTCTACCACTTCTATGACATCTTGTGGGGTAAGTTCAGAGAAAGCATCAATATCCTCCACTGGTGGCGGTTCTGACATTTTAGCAGAATCATCCACCTGAAAAGTAAAAATAATCAGGTTTGAATGATGCTTACATTGTACATGTATCAGCTCAGATGTTTTTCAAGCTACATGTATCTTAAACATAAAAAAAAAATCACAACAAGAGAGCAACACATCCACTCTTTCATTTTGTTAAAATTAACCAATAAATCTCTTCAGCCTAAATCATAAACAAAATAAACACAATTTTTTATAGGGGGAGGGGTGGGGTGGGGTTCTTTTGTTAAACTTTTGTATCAGATAAAAATAAGAAATTTGGGAAAGGATTTTGCACATGCATTTGTTCACTATGGAGAGAATCAAAAATAGTTGAAGCCATAGGGAGTATTAAATCATTTTTAGATAAATTTTATTACTGAGTAAAAGTCATAACAATGTAGAGTGAAAGAAATATAAATATCAATATTCATTGTTAGCAGGGCTGGTAAATTTATGAATTTAAGGCTGAAATTTTTACCTACGTTTTGTATGATTAAGCAAATACTGTATACAGGGTTATTTTTGCTTATGTTATTTTCAGCCTTTAATTCACACTTACAAACAATTTTGCCCCATTTTAAATTTGCCCATGCAGACACAGCTGTGGTTAAAACATAATGATTTTTACTCTGAATTCACCCCTTTTAAATTTGCCCACTTGTGACAACGGCGAAATAAAATGGGAACAAAAATTTCTCTGTATACAGTAATGGATATAAGATTGAAAAAAAAAAATTAATTTGATAAACTGGAAAGGGAAGAAGAAAAAAATGCAATGTAAGAAAAGATTTTGAAAACAAGGAACCAAGGTTGACCTCTGATGGTTCTAAGTGTAAAATGTCTGCTTCCTCTGTCACCTATAGTACAATAACAAAGATCATCTTCACAGCACTGCTAATTAAGATTTTTTAAAATTTAATTTAAGTACCTTCAAAGAAAAATAGTGGGGCTTTTGTTCCATTATCATGTGAAATAAATTTGTGTCAATGTGACATTGTTGTATGATTTTGAAGGCCCAACAGCCTTTGTAAAGGTATATATACATGTAGCATATCTTTAGTTCAACTTCAGCAAGAATATACTACCAAAAGCTTTATTTTTTCCAATCAAGTGTAACAAAGATTATGAAAGCTCGGATTTTTTTTTACAACAGATGGACAATGACATCAAAACTAATGAGACTTAAACTCAGCCCCACAGAGGGTTAATGTACTAAAAATTCTATTAAGTTATCAAACAGAAATTGTTTTCTACGTAATAGGATCCAGTAAACACTATACAAACCTCTGGTTCTGGTGAGGGAGGGGGTGTGGCTATGTAGGCGGTGAACAGACTTTCTTCCACACCTTCATCCAGGGGTGGGGGGAAGGGCAGGGCTGCTGGCTTAGCCACCTCTATCTCTAGCTGTAGTATTACATCAACATTATAGATAAATACATACAAACAATATCTTCTATATGGATATCATTATTATTTTGTACTATTACATTGTTTTCTACATATATAGTGCAGTTTCAACTATAATGTGGATGACTGAATTAGTAGCTGTTCAAACTTGCATCACATTAAACAGCAAAATGTATAATATATACTTTATATTTTGTTTCTGAGCATACTGCTGCATTGGAAAAGTTTAGTAAATTTTCTTGAGTATAGTCTAGAGTGTCTTCTATAATTAACAGGTAACAGCTTATATCATCTTCAGAGTTGACTGAAGGAAACATCCTAAATTCCTGACTATTATCGAAATTTATTAAAGAGAATCTATATTTAAAGAATATAGTACCTAATGCATCAAATGAAAATAAGATTGTAAACAATATATCTAAAGTGGAGATCATTAATACTTAGCCTATCAGCTGTAGTATAGATTATAATACTTACATCGGTGCCTATAATCTCCTCGGCTTGTGTGTGTGAGAACATAAACTCAAACAGTTTGTAATGTTGAAAGAGGCTGAAGATACATTATTAAAGCAAGAATAAGTACAGGAATAACTACACAATTGTAATATACATAACATCAAAATGCATGAACAATACTGTAGATTCCTTATTTTTCGAGAGTACTTATTACTGCAAAATGGCGCTCTTTAAAGTCAAATGGCTAGAACAATAATTCATAAGAGGATCGATGGTTGATCAAGAGATTTTACATGGTTTTTAGCACCATAAAAATAAATCGAGTAATTTTATTTTGCAAGTGGTGTTTCTCACAAAATTATACAATAATTATTTCCTCGCGTATATTTAGAAATCTACAGTATACCTCTTGAGTACAAATCAAACATAAATGTTGTTACTTAGAACCAGAGTAATTCAAAACATCCCTGGCTTATTTCAGAGGAAATAAATCCTTAACAGATATTATTGATAACTGTATACAAATTGTATGAAAAAAATTATTGTTCAAATATAAATTGAATTTAATGTCTCTCTTTTTTAAGAGATTGAGTATCACATACTTTGACTTTTCCTGCAGGTATAATAACTATTAATACACTTCATAAAAAATAAACCCAAGAGAGAGAAAAACTCTTCCTTTAAAATTTGCAGCAGAACATGATTTTTCTATATATATTTCAATAGGAAAACATAAAAATAGTACCACAAACTATACTCAGTTTATAGCAATACGATAAAACTTGATAAAAATTTTAGATTTTATTAATTCTAAAGAACATTATGTCAAATTTTCAGAATTTTTTTCTGACGAGATTTTTTTACGCTGTATATTAACTCATGAGCTCAAATTTTAAATGAGTGAAATATGTAGAAATAATTAGGGTGGTGTGTTTCGGGATGTTTTATCTTGCTTTGTATCCAGTACCTTGTAAACATGTACTCTGATATGCTTTTCGCCTGCTGTAAGTTAAAAAAATCTAATCCTGCTGATTTGACATCAGAATATTCCGGTTCTATTCCGCGTAACATTTTCTGCATTTCCTTCAGATTATCAACTAAATGCAGGTGCTGATCTACAAATAAAAAGGAAGACAGTAAGTTTGTATTAAAATGTACCCCGGGGTATTGACTGTTTATTCTCAGTTGAGCATTAAATAATAATATTTTCTTCAGACAAGATGCTATTTTTTAAACAATAAGTGCATACAAACTGAATATTGCATGTAATGCATTAAGAGAATTTATTGAAACATTTTGATACCTAAAGACCAATAATCAGCTAAAAGATATATTCACTTGGGGAAGGGAGAGGGGGTTAATTTGTGTCTGTTACATGTATATAGCACTCACTGTAACACTAGCAAAGTGCATGTAAGTATACTGTTTCTAGAGGACAGTATGTTCAATCTACCACTAAACTGCCAGTTCACCATGGTAACATCAAAACAGTTCAATATTTGTACTTTGATTTGACATATAGAATATATCATAGAGTTTTAAATCTGATCAAATGTTTGCAATAAAGCAAGTACATTGTTAGTACAAGTTTATACCAGTGTCATGAAATTTGAAGATAATAAATAGTGATCATTCTCAAAAGTCCATTTAAACAATACAAATTATGAGCAAAGCCTATAAGGACCCCTGAATACAGAGGTGGGATCTGGTGCCATGGAGGAATAAGCATCCCATGTCTACAGGTCACACTCACCATGTGCTCCTTGTCAAGACTTGGGAACATTAAAATCTGTACACAATTCATTGTGATTATTTGTACAAAAAGTACATGGGTATATAAAAATATTAGCAATTGCATAAATCAAACCAAAGATTGAAGTTATCACTATATTATTCATTTAACTCTTAATGATTAAATCAAATACAAACCTTTGACATTTGTAAACAATGTATGCACCACTGTAAAGAATCCGGACAGCTGTTGAGGAGTAAATGACTGTTGTTTTCCCCACCAGATGGCGCTTGTGTAGTAGTCTAATGTAGCAGCATCTTGCAGGTGCGTGCGGTAGTTGGATAAAGAAAATGTTTCACATAATTTTCTGTAAAATAGCATGAAATTACTTAAATTTGAATGGAATGAAATATATTCTGTAGAGAAATCACTATTTATTATATATTTTTAAAAAATGATCACACTGGATCCTGCAGTATGCTTATAACAGTAATCTTGAAAATCAACCTTAGATTGAGTAATCAACATCAAAGTAGATATGCATCTTTTTCTAAAAATCTTTTACCTACATAGTGAATAGTAAGTCAAATGTTTAAAATATTTAATTTTTCAAGTTTTTGTGCCAGAGAAGAATTTTGTTCACAGAAAAATAATTAAATCATCATTTATGTATTCATATTTTTTGTATGGTCATCAGATTGCAATTTTATGATCACAACCTAGAAGTATGATATATCATATAAGTTATAAAGTATTATATATATTCTGATTGCATATAATTCTTCAGTTTGTCAAACTGAAATTTTCCATTACCTGCATGAATTTCATTATTTATTGCTTACACTCATTGACAAAAAGATATGATTGTAATTAAGGAGGCTGGGGGGTCAACAATTAACCATCAGATATAATTTATGTTTTTTAGATATGATATCTTAAGCTGTCAGTTATCATTTGGCAAAGAAAAATTCATACATTTTAGTTTTAAAATTTGATCATTTTTGTATATCTTTATATGGAGCTCTTCTTCTAAAGGAGATCAATACAGTCTAAAAATGGCCACGACCACCCAGCCCTCTTAACAAAAAACATGAAAAACACACAAAATACATTAATGCTAGAGATAATTAAAAATTTATGTACCATATTACTGTATTTGTGTTCCAATAAAAAATCAGGGTGCATATAAAATTGAAGATCATAAGAATGGCATTCATAAGGTCTGTCATCTAGTAATTTTAAAATATCTTGTATTTGTTGTTGTTATTTTTTTTTCTTTTATAAATGCTTTGAATTACAGTCAAATTTACACATGATTTTTATCTTCAGTAGTAAGCATTGCTTTAAATGTTTAAAATTTAGCTTTGACATCCTTGTTCTATACAGATTAAAAATAAAGTTATCAACATTAGGAACACTAAGTAGTTATTTAAAAGCCTGACTTTCAGATTTTTTTTTCTCAGAACAGGAGAACTGAGGAGCTCCCTTACATGTATGCGTACAGTTGAACTTCATTATCTCGAACACCGATATCTTGATACCAGGGATTATGTCCAAGTGATTTTGCAGTTCCAACCACTTTTTTCTCTCTCTGTTTTTTTTAACCTTATTATCTCGAAATGTCTGATATCTTGAAGTAGAATCTCAGTCCTGTCAAGTTCCAGATAACATGGTTTAACTGTACTTACTTCTGAATATCTGTGACTTCTAGACTCAGGAGCTCTGTACATTGTTCCTGTGACAGAATCTTGTATGCAAAACTCTCAGCTTGATCATCAACCTCATCTTCTCCCTGTGTAATTAATTCAAAATCATTAAACAGTGTTGACTACAATTATATAAAACTTACAATTTATAATACCCATAAAAGGGAAATTTTGTTGGGGTGTGGGTTGGGGTAAAAATCTTGTCTGTTTTCCATTGATTTTTGCAGTAAATAACAAGTTTTACCCAAATTAAAGAGTTATCTCTCTTTGATTTCCCAAATATGTGAGAAATCATATGAATATCTATATAAATCTGAAAAAGCATTCAAATATGTTAACTTGAGAAAACTGACTTAGAGGCAGGAGGCAGAACAATACTATTGTTCCCAGTTCTTTTATTTGAAGTAATGATATACTAGTGCTGCCGACCAGAATTTGACATCTATCCGGAGTGGTTTTCAGGACATCTAATAAATATTCATTGGAGGTGGGGCTATTGATGTGTCATGTCAGCATTTCATCTCTCTCTTTCTCTCTCAATATTTATTGAAATTTTATATTAAAACAATTCCCACACACTTAAAATAATAAATTACCCTGTTGATTTAAACTTGATTTATATGAAGATTATATGCATTTGTAGTGAAAAAATATTAAGAAATGCAACTAGAACTGTCCAATAGGGACAAATACCCCCCGCTGGGTTTTTCAGAGAAAGTACCAAATCACTAATGTTTTCTAGATGTGAGAGGTTTTCACAATTTCCTTACACATTTCCAGTGAAAATTTAATTACTCATTATATTTTTTATATGTCCATCTTAAGACGGTACGTATTATGTTATAGCGTTCATGTCCCTCCGTCCGTCTGTTAGCTTTTTCATGTCCGGCTCATAACAGTAATACTATTAGGCATAGAATTATCAAACTTTGTCAGCTGATACATCTAGGGTAGAAGGTGTGTTGCACATTAAAACCAGGTCGCTCTGACATTTAATAAAGACGCTATGGCCAAATATGGAAAAATCATAACTAGAAAACCATTAGACTTAGAATCAAAAAAACTATGTCTTTTAACTTTTAAATTACACAATCCCAAAAGATGTCAGAGTATTGCAGTATCTTTATTAAAAAAGTGTTAAATCAAGAAAATACTAGTCTTATTTTTTTCATTATGTTCTTTACAGCAATCTGTAACAAGAAAAATTCCACCTCTCCCATGGGTGTAATGATCAGGCACTGGTCAAGGAAAATTTTGATAGCAGAAAATTGCATGTCAAATTAGAGATAAATTGATGAGTTTAGTGTGAGGAGCTAACTGGTAGAGCATCTCTGATCAAGCAGGTGTTATCTACATCTCTTGGGAAATGGGCAAAAGGAATCAGTCTCTTAATTAATTGCTTGTGTTGTATTGAATTGTTCTTGTTGGCTAGTCTTACTTTCAAGATAAATTTGATGTAATTAAAACTAATTTGATATTGTTTATAATAATTAAAACTTAAATGATATTGTATAATATAATTTAAACTAATTATTTATTGTACATTTTTTATTTGAATTTTTATATCTTTACAACAAATTGCAGACTGCCTTGTCTCACTAAGATGTCATTCGACCAATTGAATCTAAACTGTTTATGATAATTTAACAATATTTGATGGGCATATAATGCTGTGGTGGGGCACTTTATTTTAATGAATGAAACTAAGGTGCAGCCTAATAAAACATCAACACTAATAATTACAGTGTTTTTTATTACATTGAAAAAATAGTTTGCAACTATCTGTCATCTTTGTGAGACATGACACTCTGCAAATTGATTGTTGAAAAAAAAAATATCATAATTAATTATACAAAATCAAATTGATTTTAATACCTTTATATCAAACTCATTTTAAAAATAAAAGGCTGGTTTTAGTAACTATGTATTTTGACAGACATAAATAACAATTAATAGACTTAGACAACAGAGATCTTTATTTCTTTCTGCCCAATTCCCCGGAGATATAGATAAGACCTGCCTGATCAGAGATGCCCTAACAGCTTCCCACACTGAACTCATTAATTAATCTTTAACTGGATGCATGTCCACTCATTACTCCCAAGGGACAAATGGATTTACACTATTTGCTGTGTAATGTAAAAACTGTTTTTAATACTTTGTGGGTTTTTTTTAGTTCTAATGAGTAGTTTTAAGCTGCTGTAGTTCACATTTTTGTACAGATGTTCTAGATTCTATGTCTCAAACCTTAGACATGAACCCGAAATGACTAAGTCAATAAAAATGAAAAAAAACACCTGTAAAATGCAGAAAAATTATCAAATAATGTTGAAAATACCAGGTGCACATCTTCATATGGTAAATAATAAGTGTACAAATTTTCATACAAATCTATGCAATAGTTTCTGGGAACAGATCCAGACAAAACCACATAATAAAAATGAAAAAACACCTGTAAAATGCAGAAAAATTATCCAATCATAATGAAAATACCAGGTGCACACCTTCATATGGCGAATAATAAGTGTACAAATTTTCAGACAAATCCTTCCAACAGTTTCCAAGAAATGGTCAGGACAAAATCTCGTCTACAGACAGACGGACAGACGGACAGACAGACGGACAGACAGACGGACATGCTGATTCCAATATACCCCCCCTAAACTTCGTTTGCGGGGGGTATAATTAATATGGTGTGTTGTATCAGTTTACAATAATGACAGTAATGTCAATATAAAATTCAAAGATTTATCTAATTCTTTATGCTTAATGAAGAAAAAAAATCTTTTAAAAAGAAGTACAATAAAAAAAAAATCATTGCAAATCCATAAATATTGGAGTCCATCTACACAAACAAGCTGTAAATAATTAAAAAAACACCATTGAAGATCCATAAATAATAGAGTCCATCTACATAAAACAGCTGTGAATATTAACACAAGACTACTGTTAAAGCATGTTTTTGAGACACTCGACATATATTGTTAATGACATGCTAAATTTTGTCAAAATAATGTATGTAAGTAACCTATATCCCCTCCCATATACACGCATCAAGCAGTCAAGTTTATGCTGCAAATGCCAAATAGGATTTACAACGAAATTTTCAACAACCTTAAGTTTTAGTGAAAGATAAAAGGGTCTTCTAGTGCCTTACGTCTGCTATAGTGACGGTTTTCTTTCCCTTTGCATCAGTTTTTGACAAATTATTCCCAGATAACGGTGTTTTGCTTGATTTTCCAGAAACTTTCGTATTACTTTTCGTCGCCATTTTGTTTGTTGCTAAAACAAATTTCTATTATTTAACTTCGATAATTAAAGAGTTCTACAAAAGGACGGTTACTCTTACTTACCGTTTTCTTTCCCTTCTCTTTTCTTGTTGACTGAAAAATAAAGTATTTAATAAGATGAAACCACCACAGACAGAATCGAAAATAATAATTAATAATAATTATTGATAATAATAATAATAAAAAGAATACAAATAGAAATTGACTGTTTCCTTTGCCATATTATTTTCCTTTTTTTAATTCAGCGAAAAAAATGTTTATTTTTCGATATGCTGATTGAAAAAAAAAAGATTTTTAAAAATCTTTCTACAGATAGATTAGTAACAGACAATGACTGGATAGGCAAATGAAAAGAGGTTTTTTTTGTGCGTGTTTTTTTACGTGTGTTTGTTTGTTGTTTGTTTTGGTTTTGTTTGTTTGTATTTTTTTTTTTTTTTTGGAGGGGGGGGGGGGGGTCAGATCTGCGACAGTAACGATCTCACACATAAATGAACACGGTTTGGTTAATGAAAAGGAATCCTCTTCAAAGTTTATATATAGGAGGAGGAAATGTAAAAATCAGGAAATCAATATTTAATACCCTCGGGCGGCCACACGGGGACTCGTGGGCAACCAGTGTGTTCCCTCCAGCTATTTCCTCATCCGAGTCAATCTGATATTGTCAAGAATTACATCAGTTCAAAAACAGTAGAAAGGTGCTTAACCTCCAAAAAAAGTGAAGATTAAGAATGTTTTGATCGAAACGTTACTACGGATAATTTTGCTTTTAGAATAGAAAAAAAATTGAATACTCACTTTTCTTCCAGCCATGATAAAGTCCCCAATAGATCACATATATGTTTTACACTGAAAGCATAAAAGTAACTTAAGTCAAAAATAACATGTAATGGTCAAACTGTTCCTGTAACTAGGCATTTCCTGCACGGATTTACAATCCTCTTATGTCCGAATCATATCGCAGAACGACAATCAATCAATTAAAATCTGTTTTTAATACGCTTAGGATTAATTTCTTTTAATCCGTCCATTTGACTATAAACTTAAGCACATATATCAAATTAGAGAATTAAATATTTTTGTGCATATTCACCATACCTGTCCAAGAAAGACAAATTTGTATTTTTAGAGGTGAAACGTTAAATTTTAACAGCAGAGTATTCTTTTGTCATCAAGAAAAAAAAATTAAAAGATAAAAAATGAAATTAAAGAAAATTAACCAACAAAAAGTATTTATACCAACCAAAATCCGTTTCTATCCACATATCTGCTACGATGATACACAATGCTATGATGTTAAACCTAGAGACTTCATATACAAAGAAATGCCGATTGCAAACCCCGTAGATCTTCTTACGGAGTTTGAACTTAAGTATACCCTGTCGACCTTCATAGATACTGTAAAAGAAACTTAATCAGGTGTGGGGCTACTAAAGAATATACCAGGTTCTATACAATGATCTTATCGCGGTTAAAAAGCTAGAAACGCTGCTTAATTCTGACCGGGTAGGGTTTGATAACGCGACATATTCCTCGAGTTAAAGGATTCTCATTCCTGTAAATACAAAAGCTACTTGGTTGAAACTATCTCATAAGCTAAAAAGATTTATAAAGCTCTTATGCAAGAGAGATTTGAAAAACAATGGTTTCATTTTATTTTGTATATGCGAAAAACTGCATGGGAAAATGTGAAGTGAGCACTGACTTTTTGAAAAAAATCCTGACACAAATAAAGCTCATTATTTCCAGTCATGATAAAATTACAAGTCTCCCCTTCCCTGCCCTACCCCATGCAATCATCTAGTCACCTCAGCTGAGAGAAACCTGTTGTTAGGCTGTTCAGGAAAGGTCCTCTGGTAGTCCTTTATATTTACCGGTATGACATAACCTCACCTTTCCTCCATCAAACCTAGCATCGTCATCCATTCAGTAAAAGGATGAGAATTAAATATACATATACACGATACCGACCAACCCAATTCCATTTTTTCTATAGAATAAAAAGTCCGGCTCCGACAATGTGATTATATAGACCCCATCCACTCCTTTGCAAAACTTCGTCAGATTTCACTTTTTATGCATACTTTGTATTTGTTCATGGGCGAAAGGAATGTTTACTGTAAATCACACAAGTATTTCTTGTGACTTTATTTTCGCACGACGATTTGTATTTTGCATTGTACAGTTTATTCGCAACAAATAATTTTAAAAAAAGGTACTTTATGTTAGGCTATTGCGATTTACAGTCTATACAAGTGAGTAACATTCTATCAAAGGTTATAAATATCTTCTATTTATGTGATGTGTCTTAATATAAGGAGAGCATTATGTGTCAAAACTTCAATAAAAGTACGATAAACTTATCATTGAAGAGGAGAAAATCTAGCTAGAATAATTTTAACATGTTCCATAAATCAATAAATTTTTACCGATAGAGCTCTAAGTAAATCTTAAATATTCCGTATATACTGAGGAATGATCAATTGGTGAGTAAGGAAATCACAAATAATATTGTCCACTATACCATTCAGGCGCATTATCTTTCTTTGGTTTACAATCTAATTGTATACACATAATTTATAAATGTGTTCAAATCTCAATACCTATTAGATACCAATTCAAAAATATTGATGATTACAGATGCATGCACGGGTCTAGAAGGGGTCCTCCCCGCCCCCCCCCCCCCCCCGGATTTTCAGCGTTTTCTAAGTTAAGGTAAAGTAACAAATATATTACACGAAACCCAGTAAATTAATAAGCAGAATCATATATATGAGGAAGAGCGACTTGCACCTTGCATCCCCCACAGGAAATAGGTTTTTAGGGTTTAGAGATTTTTTTTCTTGTTAAAAAAATTTCAGAGTCGGACCCCCCCCCCCCCCCGAAAAAATCCTGGATCCGCGTATGCAGATGCGTTCTAAAAAAAATAGATGTATGTGTCATCTATACATAAAAAAAAAACATTCTACACCTCCCCCACATTCGTCAGAGTGTATATTCTATAAGAAAAAGCCATTACTCCGATCTCGCAGTACCTGTGTTGTAAGACGTACAGGAACACTGAGATGACAATCTTCACGGACAATTACTGTCGACATATTATGAAATTCTTCTGCACAACACATTGCTAAAGCTATCGCTGTCATCTTTCACCGTAACAAAAACACCATACAGCGGTCAGACAAAGCCTTTCCGCTCAGACTAAATGTATCAGGTTTGATTATGTTCTTATTAATCGGTCTTCTTCATTATTGTCATTGCGACTTGTCTTCAGAAAATAATGAGATCATGTGTTGAAACGGATTCCGTACGTATAGGATACCACAACCTAACGATATATGTCGTACTGGCGTACATGTAGATGAAAAAAGGGACTTAACACTTACATGTATATTTACATTCGTTAAACACTAATTACATGTATATTTTAAAAGTAAATTTCCTTATCTATTTTCCTAAAAAGTTGTATTCTAATTCAGTGTAATGTCAAATTTGTAAATTTTATATATAATTTGCCTCCGCTGATTTTTCATGTAATTTATTTCATGGTATAAGGTTCACCTTGATTCAAGGTTTACTTTTGTTCTGGTATATAGCTACATGTATATAGAATATCGTGAGTGAGGCAGGATCTGTTGCCGGGATCTATTTGCCGAGGGAAAGCAATAAAAACCTTACACGGAGAACAAGAATATTGCTGGGCTCCTCAAAGATAAACCATAAAAATCTGTTGTGAAATTAAATACATTGTATTACATAATCAACCTAAAATTCATAAACCCTAATTCACAGCTTAAGCCCGTATACTTCAACTATAATAGTCTGTTCAGTAAACAATTGTGAAAAATACATTGTATTACATAATCAACTTTAAATTCATAAAACCTAAATCACAACTTAAAAAATAAACCTGTACAGTGAAGATGTTGTTCTCATCAGTGATTGATTGATGTTTAGCAATATTATGTTCATATGCTTTCATAACGTATTCGCTATTATAATAACCCAAAGGGGTAATTAATTTTGTGTCCATTAGAATATTTTATCTTATAAAGATCAAAAATTCTCAATCCAGTCATAAGAAATCACTGAACGAAGAAAAGCCTTTGCTCAGGCAAAGCTGTCATCTTCAGTTAACCAAAGATTATCTCGTCATAGAGCCATCTAGAGATTAAATGTCAATTTTTTGTCATCACTCGTTCATAGGACTATTATGATGGTACACATTTCCATTATGGGATAATTTGCATAACGGGCAAAACCGTTTTGCGTAAAATTATATATTCAGGGGGCCCGGGTTCGAATCCCGGTCTGTTCAGTTGCATTTTCTCCTTTCCTGGTACATAATAATTTGGTGAAAGACCAGCCAGGGAAGAGCATGGACTAGTGTCTTTGGGGGTGAAGACCTTTAAGGATGGAGGAATGTGGCGGTCAGATCGCCGGTGGTCAGATAGTTCAGTTAGTAGAGCACTTGACTACAGATTCAGTGGGCCCGGTTTCGAATCCCGGTCTAGTCACTTTCTCCTTGCCTGTTTCATTTATTTTGATGTTTATGAATAGGGGGTTGTCATGGACGCAGTGACTATGGTATTAGATAATTCTTAATTGCTAAAAAATAGTCTTCACATTTCATTTATTTAGAAGTTTGGGATTTGTCTTCTGAAATTGAAGGACAAGATCAAATCCTAAGATCTTATGTGAAAATAACATTTCAAAATGGAAATTTTATGGAGAAACGAACATTTACGAAAGAGAGATGTACATGTAATAATTGCAAAGGTTACAGACTTAGCATTACTCAATTGGGGTTCGGAACAATACTTTTCATCCAGTGAAAAAAAAAAATCATAATTTAATCGTTAGTATAATTTGGACTGAAGAAAAGAGTGATATAAATTAAGACGCAAAAGAACTATATAACAAAAATAAAACTTCTTTGATTTCAAGGGAATATCTCTGAAATCACTATTTGGGATTAGAGCTAACCCTATCATGCGCAATGGTCATTGTATAAAGTCCTAAGCATGAAATATGAAGATAATGAATAATTATCAAACTCAGAAGTCCATTGGAACAATACGACTGGGAGCAGAGCGAACATAAGAGTAAGCATCCCCTGTCAACCGGTCACATTCGCCGTGTGCTTTTTGTCGTGATCGGGCAAACGGAAAAATCCGTAGCCAATTCAAGGTGAAAATAATGGTCTAACAATTTATATGAAAAACTTTATTCAGCACTCGACTTAACTATAGATTGTATTTGCTAACAAATTCATTGTATTGACCATGGAATTTGCAAAAATGTTGAATTCATACACAACTGTTGATATCCTCGCATCATCAACTTATTTGTCCATAGCTTGCATCGTTTTAGAAATTGTTCGTACGTAGAACATGCTCTTGCGTATCGAATGGACTGGGGGATATAAACTTCATATAATGGCATATTGCAACATAAATAAGTTGATGATGGAAAAGTTGAAGTCTTCAAGTTTATCATGCTTAAGCATCTTTTTTAATATCAACTTCGGGGTACTTGTGTAGAATCAGGATTTTTTTTAACATTAAAATAAGTTTACAGATGACCAATGATACGGTATGTAAATTTACGAGTTCCATTTTTATTGAAAAAGCAGTTGTCTATGTCAAAGCCTGGACTTTAATTTATCTTTGGGAATGGTTGTATAAAGTGTTGAAAAGTCATATGTTCATATTTCATTTATAAAAGTTCTGAATAGCCAGTTAATATAAACTCCGCCGCAAAGTATAAGTTACTAATTCAATGTTACCAGTTATTGTGTTTGAGACAAGATAAGGACCGTGATTTGA